CATTTGAACTAAAAACAGCAAAGCAAGTTCACAAATCAAGAACAGAAATACTTATTTACCATTGCTATTATGTAATACCCTTCAAATAATTTAATTCGCATTAATCATTTATTCAGTCTGTGAGTATAAAGAGCATTTATTATTTGTTGAAATTAAAAATAAGTTCACAAATCAAGAACATAAATACTTATTTACCATTACCTAATACTCTTCAAATAATTTCATTCGCATTAATTTAGCCGGTGAGTATAAAAACATTTATTAATCATTTGAACTAAAAACAGCAAAGCAAGTTCACAAATCAAGAACAGAAATACTTATTTACCATTGCTATTATGTAATATCTTTCAAATAATTTAATTCGCATTAATCATTCATTCAGTCTGTGAGTATAAAGAACATTTATTAATTGTTGGAATTAAAAATAAGTTCACAAATCAAGAACATAAATACTTGTTTACCATTACCTAATAACTTTTTATCATTTCATTTGAATTAATCGATCATTTAGTTTGTGAATATAAAGAACATTTATTAATCATTGAAATTAAAACAAGTTCTCAAATCAACTATTATCTGATATCCTTCAAATTATTTTATTCGCACTAATTATTCATTCAGAGAGTAAGTATAAAGAAAATATATTAATCATTGGAATTAAAAGCAAGTTCACAAATCAAGATCATAAATATTTATTTACTATTCATTACTAATATCCTTCAAATCATTTTACTCGCATTAATTTAGCCGGTAAGTGCGAAATTTATTTTCACTCGATACAGGCTTAAAATAGCATGACCAATAAAATTAAATGCTATATATTATATATTTTATTTAAAGTGACTAATTATGAAAAATGTGACACTGTAATGAAGATAACATGAATAAAACATGGTGCCAATCATGCGAGTCTGACATAGAAAAAAGATAGACAAGTAGAAATAAGAAGATTGATAATTTTTTAAAAATGGTACAACTGAGAACTTGGAGATATGAAAGCATAGAGTCAATTTCATATAACAATTTAATTAATACAGTAAAAATAGGTAAAGGAGGATTCAGTTTGGTGTATTCAGCAATCTTTTATTATTAAATATAAAGTCCTTTTACTATTTTCACAAGCTGTAAAACTTATTAAACAAGTGTTAATATATCTTGTTTAATTAATAATAACATTTGTATATGCAAATTAAAACTGATAGAAAAAAAAATTTTTTCCTACCAAAATGCATGATTGCATAATGTCACATGCTACATTATGCTGCATTATGTGATGCAGAACCAAAAAACATGCATTCGCACATCTCTACCATCCACTGTTGAAATCTTAAATCCATCCACTATTAAAGTCATGAACTACCCACCCAAAAATTAGATTCATTGCTCATAATCAACTCATCCGTAGTTGCTATTCTGTCACCGTTGAAATTAATAATCCACCAACCATTGGAGCCATGAATATACACAGCATAATCATGAACTCGCCCAACTACTGCTAAAATTATGAACCCACTCACCCGTGTCAAAATAATGTCTACCCATTGCCAAATTCACTAATCTAATCACAATTAAATTACGAACTATCAAATGTTGAAATTATGAACCAATTACTATTAAAAGTAGAAACTCACGCGTTATTGAAATTACTAACCCACATACTACCGTACAGTGTGGGCTAAAATACCCAGGGTACATTAAAATTTAAGTTGTATATATGGATATGATAGCGGAGGGATACTATAAGTTGCACTATATGAGTGCTGCAGTATTATTTTATATATTCTAAGTGCAATTAAATCGTCTTTAGTATTCTGGTATTTTACATTCCCAAATGCAATTAATCCGTCCTTAGTATCATAAAAGGGGTCTTTTATTCCGCACTGTACTGTTAAAATCACAAACCAACCAACTATTGAGATCACGAACCTACCCATTATTGAAATCACCAATTTACCTTCTATTGAAATCACGAATACACCCATTGTTGAAATTATGGACCTTTTCATCGTTATGTGTTATTTGTTATTCGTAGATTAGAAAACAAGATATCATTTTGCAATTGAACTTATGCCTAAATACTAAACACGTAAAACACATGCGTTGAAATTTCAGTTAATTATTTGCATTGTTAATTTTAATTAAATTCCAAATACATGAGTTTTAATTGAATATTTCATTTTTTATACTAATTACTCAAAACCGTCATACATGGTAGACAGGTTTTGAGAGATTATCAGATTTGAAAACATTACAAACTGTTAGAACTATATAATTTGTTATCAGATTTTACATATTATCGGGTTTGACAGGAACGGTTTTGAGAAGTTCAACTGTATATTTAAAATTTTGAATAACCTTAATATTAATAAACTAGATTTCGATATAAGGTAAATAGCTTTCTATTTCCTGTTTTTTAACTTTGTTTTTCATACGATCCAAAATATTACCTACATCGTCTGTTTTTTTCAATGAACGCATCATAGGATATCTGGTGTTAACATTTACAAATACAGGAGAACAGTCTGAATGGTATTTTTTATATAAAAGCCCTAAAAATAGATTTCCTTCCCTAGAAAATTTATCCCATTCTTCGCCTTTATATGTTGAATTCTTATCTTCTTCCCATTTCATTTCATATTCTTGTATAGCGTTAATATTGCTTAAGTGAACTTCTAATGACTTTTTGAAGTCATTTATCTGTTTACCCTCATTCTTGAATAATTAATACTTTATTAGTTTCAAGTTTAAATAAAAGATTCTTTTTGATAAATAATATAAATTAATACTTGCTATATCAAATATATAAGTACATGGTTCCCATTTCTGTCCGTCAACTCGACAAAGGTGGAGCCCAGCGGCAATTGTGGATTCATAATCGTCCGTGTCCTGACATCTGAATGCACAAATTCCGAGACAGCACATATTATGATTGAGGCGCACAATTTCTTTGGGAAGATCTCGTTTTACATTCTCTTTTTCAGATTCAGATTCAGAATGGTCGTAAAACCTTTGCATTGGATTTTTTAAAGTGTAACTATTCAACATAAATTTCAATGGAGATTTAAACTTAAAATCAATACGAGATCCGACAATGATCCATGAAACTTTTACAATATGTTTAAAATCTTTTTTCGACAATAATTCTTTTTCTTTCTTTGTTTTGACACAATTTAATATTAAATTGGAGCTTTTGTTAGGATAGTAAACTACATGGACAGAAAAAATTTCATTAATGCATTCAGTATTATAAACTGTTGCATATACATGGTTATTTTCCATATTATCGAGGATATTTTCTGGAATATCTATTTGTAATTTTTTGGGCTCTATTATGTTCTTGTTATTAAATTCTATTTCGTTTGTACCAGAATGGAGCACCACTTTCCCAAGCAATTCAAGCAACTTCACTCGTTTCTTACTATCTAATAATTCGTAAACTGATATGATCTCTGAATAATTAATAGGTTGCCATTTGTCACAATGATCCAAAGTTTTTAGCCACTTCTTTTGGGATTCACTGCCATTATTGTCATCTGACACGATTGTCTCATCACCACCAACTACTCTAAAACTATCGTTAGCATAAAATTTTGAACTTGATGTTCCTTTTTTAGAGTTATATGTTAATGAGGTGTTTTGAATGCCTCCTCCAACTGTTTTTTCCTTGAAATCAGAAAATCTTTTGCTGTGTGATTCAATTCTACTTTGGATTTTACCACCAAATTCTATGTACATTGGAACTGAAAATGATTACTTTTTGTTAGTAATTATTGTTTTATTAGTATAAAACGTATATTTTTTTGAAGTATACTTACAAATAAATCCAAATTCTTGTGATATTTTTTTAATTTCTTTCAATTTTTCTTCATCTGTGTTTTGTTTCAGCGCACTATCAATCGCATCTATAAATTCACTCGTTGGTTCAATATCATTATGTGAAATGGATATACTACACTTGGCAGCATTTACATATGTGTACTCATATGATTCTTCTATATCTAGTTTCTCTTCTTTAGAATTTTTAATATGACTACCGAGATCTAATGAAGTAAGAGCCCAGGGTAAAGGAACGCTGACATTGCCATTTATAATAAAACTTCGAGCAAACATTTGTTCAATTCTCTCTTTACATTTCATTGTATCTCGCTCCAGACCTTTATAAGACGTATTATTTATTATAACAGTGTTTCCTTCTTTAAGGTTAAATGCTCGTTTTTTAGGAACTCTTTCAATAATGTCTTCGCGTGTAATGCAACATCCATAAAGAAGTTTATGTTTATTAACAAATTGGGATAAACTTACTTTATTAGCATCTTTTAGAATATGGATTTGCCCATCGCTAAAAATTATATCAGAAACTATAAAAGCTTTTTCTTCTTTAATAGGAATTATCTTTTCAATATTATTTATATTATTTTTAGATAGAAAATTCATATTCTCCCCCATATAGATTTCTTCTTTGTTTTCGAGCATATTGCGTACCGTTGAAAGTTTTATATTAGGCATTATACCACCAACATAATAAGCTTTTGGTTTATTTTCATGAATTATAATGTCGATAGGTTGATCTTTTGGTACCGTATTAGACGAATTTGAAGTACCAAAAAATCCAAATGGAAGTAATGGGATTTTCATTCGCAATAGATGAAGCCGCTATCAAACATTCGGAAAGAACCATTTGGTAGTAAATACGAAAAAAGATTGTATCACAGAACTTACGTAGTACATACACCATGCATGGGGCCTTCGCTATACGTACTACATTCGGAAAATCTGTGCTCGGTTAGTAATGTAGACAAAATTTTTTAAAGTTGATCTAAGTCGTCGTATAGTAAAATTGTACAAGGAAAATCTTTTATTAGAGCACTAAAGGTGGTTTATTATGCGGATTTTTGAGAAAGAAGTGATTTTTGGCAAAACGAACTTTTGTTTTGAAATTTTCTGATCGTGCTACGTTACACTTGATCATGAATAACCGATTTGAATGCTACATGTACGTACGTACATAGGTATAAAAGCTTTCTTTTGATAATAATTTTGTACTATATCAATTTTAGCAATATTATTGTTAAAACAAAATTTGCAATGTCGTCTTTGTCTAACTGGTTAGATCAAGCTATTGAAAATGAAAATATTAGATTTATTAAATTCAATGATTTGGACTTCGATGCTAGAAATCATAAAAAGAAAGAGAATCCTTCATATTCTAGAGTTCCTTTGAAAAGCAACCCGGATTTAGAAATTACATATCATACTTTGAAGGACTTTCATGATCTAAAAATTGACGATAAAGAAATGGCAACTCTATTTAAGGTAAGTACTATAGTAGTATTTTAAAGTAATAAACGTACGAGAAAATTAACTTAATATCTGAAGGAGTCATTGCATGAAAATATTATCACAGCTTTTATTTCTAAATGTAATTATCGAAATTTGAGCATTTTATATTGCATTTATGTTATAGAGGGGTACTCAAATAATTAATCATAGTATAACGTTTAAAGTTTAACTATTCTTTATTGTATATGCATATTTATTAAAGGCATGAACACTTGCGATTATTACTTGATCATAGAATATGCTAATCAAGGAGATTTGGATTGTTATTTAGAGAATACAATACTTACATGGAGACAAAGAATTGAAATCGCTATTCAATTAACCAGCGGATTGAATTTCCTTCATAATAAACAGCTTGTACATTTTAATTTGGTAAATTATTAGTGTAATAAAAATAGTGAAGTTTTTGCTTTATCTCCGTAAATCCAACGAAATTGATGATGTGAAATTAATTTAATTTATTCAAATTATAGGATCCTAAAAACGTCTTTATTAATAATGATATCCTGAAAATAACTAGTTTTGGGCGTATTGAAATTTTCAAATCAAATAATTTTGAAAAAATTCCATTTATTGAACCTCGAACATTGCAGACATTAAATCCAGAAAGCCTCATAGAAAGCGGAAATAATTCTCAAGAATCTAATGTCTATAGTTTAGGAGTTTTGCTGTGGTACATCTCTAGTGGTTTTCGGCCTTATAAGAATTTTTCATGTTTCCAAATGATCACACATATTATTAAAGGCCAAAGAGAGGCAGTTATTCAAGGAACTCCTGTCAATTATTCTAAATTGTATCAAAGTTGTTGGCAACATGATCCAGGTACGTGTTTATATAATGATCCATAACATTTTACTAGAAATAACCGAGAATTATTATGATAATTTCAAATAAAAAATTTTTAATTCCAGACAAGCGTCCTAAGTGTAAGCAGATTTTGGAATTTCTTGAGAATGCTGATATGAAAGATGGAACATCTAATACCATTGACAAAAGTCATCAAGCATTATCCGAGCTTGGTAAAAATATCCTAATTGATGAAGAGAAGATTTATGCTCCAACAAGTATAGAAGGACCTAATAAAATAAAATGTTTACAAGATTTTAATTTATGTAAAGGGTTAAACATTTATGGAAATATTTTAAATCCGGGAGAACAAATTCTTACAAAAGATGGCGAACTCATTTTCTATATAAAAAATGATATACGTGTTTATATAAACAGTATTCCAACAAACACACTAAAAAATAAAAGTATTTTACCTACTAGTCCAAATATAGAAGAAAATCATATTCGTATACATATCCCTCTTCTTCAGATTGAATACAAGAATCAGATAGTCACGAATGAATTTACTGAAATAATCGAAAAAGAGCTAAAAAGGCCAGATCAAAGTTTCGTTCGTGAGACTCTCCAAGATATTTTTGAGAAATACGGTGAATATATTGTACAGAATATTGACATCGGTGGCGCACTTACGGTTAAATCATCCTTCGATGATGACCTATCACTTTTACAAGAAATTGAAATTCTGAAAGCACAACTATACTGGGTTTATGATGATGTTGTATTAGGAAAAGTCAATGTATTCAACAAAGTTCCATTTAATGATCATTTTATCTTGAAAGATGCACATAACAACGATCAAAGAATCCTTTATGGCTATGAATTAAAATCTTGGATGAAGGATTATTATGAGAATAAAAATGGATATATTATATCTTATAATAAAATTATTCATGCATATAATTTACTTAAAGATGAAGTTAAACAAAATGTGAAAAATGCACTTGAATGTTCCTATGAAAGAACTATAAAGTTTATTCCGCATATGAATCATTATGACGACAAGGATTTGATAACGTGGATTTCAAGCTCAAAAACAATTTATCTACGTGATTGGGTTGAAAATCTACATTTACAGTATGGTCTTGTTATTCAACCATGCGCTATAGGACGTGGATTTGAAATTGCTGTTGAATTTATTGGAATACCTGATGCACACAAATGCAACAATTCATACATGCATTTACGACAGCCTTCCAATAAAAAGGAAGCATTCACTTTAACAAATCGGATTGAATTCAACAATGATACAAATTTTTTGTTTTTAGCAAAGAAATTGGCAAATGAAAATCCTCATCCTATATTTGATAATCTGCAAGCTTCAGAAATTCATTGTTTGATTATATCAGAAAATGTCAAACTGTGCATTAATTTGGACAAAATTGTGCCTTCAAAAGCTCTAATGAAGGAAGTAAATGATGCGATTAATAATGATTTTCCGTTCTATGAACTAAATCGCGTTTTTAATAAATTTGGGCACATTTGGCCTCAAAAAATAATTCTCGGTTGGATTTTATCTAGAACTTGCGACCATACCACTAGCGATGAGCTCATAAATGATAAATTTTCTTTGGATATAAACAAGAAATCTGAAATACAACAAATAATTTTAGACAAACTAAGTAAATGGAGTAATTCAATAAAAAATTTAGATACATCCTTCTTTTTAGATTCTAATGGTGAAATTGTGAATAGTCATGAGATTTATGAGAAATTACGGAATTTAAATGAGGTTAAAAATTTGAATATTGTAAAGTTTGAAGATTTGGTGCCTCTGTACAAAATTTTGCCAGAATCTATACAGAAAGATATAGAAAATATAACTTCAGATAGATATCATATTATCATGACTGGTGTGACAAAAATAAAACGCGAAAATCAAACTTATGTTGATGTTGGATTTGTTCAGCCTCTTAAAGATAATAATTATGAAATGTTTGGTTGTTTAATTGTTAATAATCAAAGAATATCAGATACGATGATACGATTTAGTTTAGCAAATAAATATGGATGTCAGGCAATAATTCATAAACTTGGCAATAAGAAGTATCTATAATATTATTTAATTTTGTTGCAATATAATGCAATATATTATAGTATTAACCTATTTTATATAATCTACTATTTAGCATTTCTATTGATGTAGAACTTTTATGGATAGTACTTGCTAAAGGGCATGGATACTTTAGTAGACATACTCGAAATGTAAAAATTATTTTTGGGCAGAAAATTTTAAAGGGTCAATTACCTTTTACATATGAAATCAGCATGCAAAATAGAAATTTTCCTGATTCATTTATCCTTGTCACTAGCTTTGATTCTAAAGATCTTGATAGAAATCAAGTTATTAAGGGACATATTGAAAATCACTCAAAAACTAGCTTGAGTCTGAATGTTTCGCAACATAACGCCGAAGAGATACAGAGTAATAACATCATAATGAAATGGTGCTTGATTGAAATTAATCAAAATGATTTCGTGATTTCTGACGTCGAAAAAAAAGTTTTTAATTGGAATGTTCTTGGAGAAGTAATAGCTAAGTCGAATTGGAATGTTCGTGGAGAAGTAATAGCTAAGTCGAATTGGAATGTTCGTGGAGAAGTAATAGTTAAGTCGTAAGTATGGAAATCATTCGCGCTTGCTTTTAATTAATCTTTAAAACTTAAATAAATATTCACCTATTAACTTGTCTGTCAAATAAAAAGAGAGTGAGTATAATATTCATTTTATCTGATGTAGCTTTTTTTAATTAGGAACATTCTAATCACTCTAATCCTATGTTAAATAGTAGAGATGAAGAGATCGAATGGATTAAGAACGTTAATGAAGATAACGCCGTCAGTTGGCTTGAAAAAGCTAATTCAGAACAACATATTAATTATTTTGAATATAGTGAATTCACAGACATTAAAAAACTTGGTGATGGTGGATTTAGTTCAGTTGAAAAATCGGACTGGAAAAGTTGTGGGTTAACAGTCGCTCTTAAAAGTTTAAAACTTCAAGCTGAAGGAAAGGAGATGATTTCGTTTGTGAGAGAGGTATTATAAATATATAGTTAATGAATTGTTAAAATAAAGTCTTCATTATATCGAATTCTAGATCGTTAATAAATTATTTATATAAGCTTCAACTTCTGCAAAAAGTAAGCTTTCATCCTAAAATAAATCATTTCTATGGTGTAACTAAAGGTTGGTATTTCACACATGCATATCATTAAATGAGTTTAAATTATAAACTGTCCACGACATTCATTCTTATAATAGACACCAATGGAAGTTATAAAATGGTCCTACAATTTGCCAATAATGGAAACTTGAGAGATTATTTGACTAAAAACTTTTCATCATTGACATGGGAAGATAAGTTTCGTATTGCAGGAGAGATAGCACAAGGCCTTGTGTTTCTACACGAAAATAAGGTTGTGCATAGAGATCTTGTATGCATTTTTTTACATTAATTTATTGAGTTGAACCACTTTATTATTTATTTATTATTTATTTATTATTTATTTATTATTTATTATTAATTACTAAATTTTATATAGCATACAAAAAACGTCCTGGTACACGATGATAAAATGCTGATCGCGGACTTCGGTTTATCTAAAGTATTAACAGTTGACATGTCTAAGTCAACTTCGAATATTGACAAGATGCCGGCATTTATTGATCCTCAATGTTTTAAGGTCATTGGATATAAACGTACTACTAAATCAGATATTTATAGTTTTGGTGTAGTTCTTTGGGAAATTTCAAGTGGTCGTAAACCTTTTGGATCATTATCAAGGATACAAACTGCTATTAAATTATATATTGGTGCACGAGAGACACCTATTGAAGGCACGCCTCCTCAATATTGTCAACTCTACAAGCGATGTTGGAATGACGATCCAGCCGAACGACCAGAAATAAAAGAGGTTTTTAATTTATTAAATAAACTTAAATCCCAACCATCAGGCTTTCCTGTGAGCACGGAAGAACCATTAAGTAGATCACTTAAAAAAGCTACATCAGGAAAAATTATTAATTCTTATGACTATGATAAATTTAGTCAACTTAAAAAAATTGCAGAAGAACAATTTAGTTCAGTATATAAATGTGAATGGAATGAACGTAAATTAACTGTTGCTCTTAAATGCCTTAAAGTTAATGATGAATATATGGATGAAAACATTGTTAGAGCATTTATTGAAATGGTATAATTTAATATTATTTTATATATTTCATTATATTTTAGTTTAAAATAATAACTAGGTGTTAAATACTTTTCAAAGCTTAGATTTTTGCAAAATAATGCCCATCCAAATATTATTAAATTCTACGGAGTAACTAAAGGTATTTTTTAAGTAACAACAATGATGTTAGCTTATATACTAAATATGACCGTTTATCTTAATCAATATATAGATCCAAACCCTACTAATATTTATTATAGTATGGTTTTACAATTTGCAGATGGTGCAGATTTACGTGATTATTTGAACAAAAATTTTCTAGAATTAGAATGGTCTAGGAAACTACAGATGGCTAAAGAAATAGCAGAAGGACTTGGATACCTACACAAAAATGGTATTGCCCATCGTGACCTGGTAAAAATTATTTAATAATTTAATTAATATAATTTTAGAATTCATGAATAATCAAGTTTTTCAAATTTTTTATAGCACTCTAAAAATATCCTAGTCTGCAAAAGAAAAATGAAGATTGGAGGTTTTGGTATATCTGAACAGGTGAATGATACATCTCTTTCAACTTCAATTGCTCGGGGATCGCCAGCATATATCGATCCACAATGTCTTAAAGACCCCCACCATAAACGTGATATGAAATCGGATATATATAGTTTAGGCGTTATTTTTTGGGAGATCTCAAGTGGACAACCACCATTCAAAGCGATTGAAGTTGGATTTTCAATTACCATTCATGTGTTTAATGGCGGCAGAGAAACTCCTGTCGAAGGCACTCCACTTCAATATGAACAACTTTATAAACAGTGCTGGGATGAGGAACCTGAAAAACGCCCGAATATAGTGACAGTTCTTGAAAATCTAAATCAGATTATTGATGTTTAGGGTAGACTTTATTTATGTGTAGGAATATCGATTAGCAATCCTAAAATTCTTAAAATGTTCGAAAAGTGATTATATGTAGATGTTATAATATAGAAAATTTTTTTTCTGAATAAATTAGATCATTGCATACATCACAAAGTCATTTTTATGTTATTTTCTGTGGAATTCATATAAAACTTTTTATAAAAACTTATTTAAAGAATATATAAATTTATAAACCCAATGTGAATTTTATGTATAAATTCCTAATAATAAAATCATCGCCCTGTCATTAGTGTCCTGTACATTTTCACCAATCATTTCGATCATGTGAAATAAGTTTCCCTTTTAGAGGTCGACTAAAGTCTTGTAGTATGATTCTACTCTAAAATCACGATGTTTAAATCCGAAATCTAGTTATCACAGCGTGTGATATCTGGGTGCCAATATTCATGCTCCGCTTTTGATTGTTAATATATATTACTAATCAAAAGTGGTTTGAATATCGGAACCCCATTATTGAGCATAGATATCATAATAATAAATGTGAACTAACGCAAAAGTGGGGGTTGTGCCTTGAAAATCAAGTTATGAGACATATAATCTACTATGTCTTATGACCTGATTTTCAAGGCAAAGACCCATATATGTAATTGTGATGAAATATGCAGACCGTTATGTACAAGGTTGGTGGCGCAAATCTCCTGAACAACGAATCAGATTTCAAGATTAGGTGTAACGTACATAATCAAAAAAACGTTCGTTCGGCCAAAAATTCTCATAGCTCAAAAATCTGCATAGGAAGCAACCTTTTGTGCTCTAACGTCAAACAATTTTACTATATAACTATCTCCCTCTAGATCCTAACTTTGACCCTAACCCGAATTTTATGAATTTAGTCTTCGCCGCCAACCTTGTTCACATTTACGATATGCCATTACTATTCAGTTATGATGTAATTCAAATCGTTATAATTGTGTAAAATTTCAGAATTTCTAATTGTAGTTGTCAAGATCTTTTAATGTTATAGTTATTTTCATAAATTTAAGACATCCAAATATTTTTCATTTTCTGAACATGTTCTGGAATAATCTAACTTTTTAAAAACTATCTTTTGTTCTTGAAATTTCAATACATAGTTTTTTAGAAGTTTAGAAATTCTTAGAACAAAATCAAAGAAATTTCAAAAAACAAGCAATTTTTGCAAGTAATCAAAATGGTAAACAAGTATTAGAATTGAAAATTTTAAATTTTATTAGTTTAGGGGTTGGGTCCTATAGCTTAATTGTTAAGCTTTCATTCTTCATAGATAAGATCAATAGTTTGAGTCTGGAGATAAAATACTTTATAATTAAAAATAGAACTTATAATCAGATGTGAAGCCTTGTAGAAGTCAAAGTAAAAGTACATATTTGATTTAAGAAATTCTTAAAAGAAAACTGGTATGGCAGAGCATGAGTATTATTATAGTAAGAAATATGAAAAATGTCATCAATGTTTGTAGAAAAGTTTGGTCTTATCTAATATAAAATTATCTTTGGTTTCATAAATCCAAATAGATGTACTTATAAAATCTATTTCTATTCAGTAAAGTTTATATCAAGAATAAAGCAGTTGTAAAATTTTATTAATATAATTATTTTTGGGCATTCTCAAACCTTAACCATATTTATAATCTTAAATCATACATAACTATAATTGCATTTATGTAAAATTTATAATAACAAATAATGTATAAATTATAGAGTAATTAAAATTTGTTTAAATGTTATTCTCTATGTTTATTTATTATAATTGATTAAAATAAAAATCACAATTGATGCTTGAATAATTTATTAATATTTCATCAAATATTTATTCACTATATTTAGTTCATTGATATTTAGTTTTTACATAATAAAATTACTATTAAAAAAATTTTAAAAGTAATATATATTATTAGTAATCTCTAGGTTACTATCAATATATAGGTAATCTTTAGATTACTATCAATATATAATAGACAATTAATGCTAATCATCTAATTCTCTTCATAGATTACTAAAATCAAACTAATAGCTCTTAAACTTCTAATTAAACTTTTTCTTTACAACTTTCTAGTCTAAAAACAATTTATACTTAATCTTTCGATATAACAAACTTTTATATTTTAATAAAATTATCTTTATTTATATTCTTTTTAAATTT